GCTCCGATCACGGAATCGGGCCCCTCCCTGCTGATCGGATTTGGGTCTGCTTGGCCGCCGGCTTTCCGCGAACGGCGTCGGCTCTGCAGTCAGCCCGGCCCCCTCGCCTCTTCGATTTCGCGTCCGCGAGGCGTTGTGCCTGCCGAGGTTCCGATCCGAGTCCCGAGTACCAGTGCCCGCGGCGGCCGAAGCGGCGAAGCGCGCAGACGAGACCCACTCGCGACCAAGTGGCCCCGAGCGGGGCGGGGCGGGGCGGGGCGGGGCGGGGCGGAGCGGAGGGGCGCTGCCACCGCGAGGCGGCCGTCTGGGCATCCGCGGGCACCTAACAATGTGGTGTCGCCGCCCTCCCGGACGGTCCCGGACTCCCGGATCGTCGGCGGGACCGTGTCGGCCACGTGCCTCGCCACCTGAGCCGAGAGAAATGAGTGACTATAGCGATGACGCGTCGCGCCGCGGTTCGCCAGCTTCGCCAGCCAGGCGGTGACCGGGCGTGTTTTTAAAACAAGCTGGGGGCTGGGCTGGGACGTGAGCGTGGACTAGGCGGGCGGCGCGGGGCGCGGCGGGGCGCGGCGCGGCGGGGTGTCGCCTCACGCCCTGGGCGTTAACCACGTGAATGGTTATGCGCGAGGCGGCCAGTCGTAGCCGACGGTTGGCGCACGGTGGTCGCGGAACGGAGTCACGCTGCCAGCTTCGCTGCTTCGCTTCGCTCGCGCCGTCCGCGTCCATCACTGCGCCCCGCCGAGCTACGCCCCGCCACGCCCCGCCACGCCCCGCCGAAAACGAGCCGGCTCCTCACGTCGCACGTCCCCTACCGTGTGGTGCCCGGTGGTGCCGCCCCAGCGGGCCCCGCGCCTTGCCTGGCCTTGCTTGCCGCACTTCGCGAGGTCCCCTGGCGCAGACCGGACGAGTGGCAAACGCTCTCGCCGAAGCTGTCCCCGCCACGCCACTGCCACGCCCCTTGGCGCGCACCCCGCCGAGCCGCTTGCACCGACGTGACGCCCGTCTCCAGGTGAGTTGCTGCCTGCCCAGGCTGCCCAGGCTGCCAGGCTGCCCAGTGCCCCCTGGCCCTGGCCATTTCCTTCCGAGGCCCGCAGAGTGACGCTGTCTCTCTCTGTGTCGCTTCCCTACGGGACGCGCCGGTGAGTGCGACAGAGACTCAGTGACGAAATCACGGTTTGGGTTCGGGGAATCAGCCCCGGCCGGCGGATGGAGACCCCATAACCCCCACGGTTATTGACAGAATTCTCTTCAAAATTTGGGGGCCTTAATTGGCGGAATCCCCGTTTTCGGGTCATTTCGTCGTGGTCGTGGGGCCTTTTTTAGGGGGGGCCCCCCCTTGCTTGTGAGTCCCACTGGATCCGCAATGTGTCTGTCAGCGGGTGTCTGTCGCGCTTCGAGCCAGACCGCCAGACGTCACAGGTGGACTCCGCTCTGCCGGTGGCACTCCGCGGCGTGGTCCCAAGTCGTGCATCGTGCACTCCTCGTGGGGGCCGCGCGTAAGCGGTCCGTCGCGCTGTCTCTCTCGCACCTCCACAGAAAGCCCCGTGAGTGCGAGAGAGACAGAGCGTCGAAACCGCGTATTCGGGATGAGCCTGCAGGACGGTTTATTTCCGCGCCGTGGCGTGCCGGCGCACGCGTCCTGCACGTGCGTGCTCAAAGTGTCCCGGTGTCCGCGCGAGCCGTTGCAAGCGTGTCGCCGCGCTCCCACCGGAGGTGCACTGTAACTAGCCGTCGCGCTGCGGGCTGATGCCGAACGGCGCCTTCGTCGCTCCGTCTCTCTCGCACTCACGGGGCGTACCGTGAGGGGTGCGAGAGAGACAGAGCGGCGGGGTCTGCTGCGCACTGGACCTCGGCGACGAACACGCCGCGCCGCCGTAGGAACACCAGGGACGCGGGGTCACGGCGGGACGCCCTGCGGGACGCCGGCCACGCGTCGTGCACGTGCCTGGGCTGCGCCCCGCGCCTCCCGCATGTCAACGGGTAGCGGGGCGCAGCGGGGCGTTGCGTTCACACCCTCGAGCAGGCCGAGGAGGCCGTCGAGTGGGTGAGGGTGCACCTCGCGGCGCGCGTCGCTGCGCTGTCAGCGCATCGGCATGTGTTTACTACGGGGCCGCCGCGGGCCGCCGCGTCGTCGCTGCCTCAACGCAGCTATGCGGCACTAGACTCGTGACTCACATCGCATCGTGCAGCATCTGCGGCCTGGCTGCAGCCCTGGAGTCACCGCCACGACGCCTCGCGCTGCAGTCTCATTCCGAGGGTCGTCTTCGTCGCTCTGTCTCTCTCGCACTTATGAAGCGTGCCGCATGGGTGCGAGCGAGACAGAGCAACGAAAACGACTCTCGGAATCAGACTGCAGGCGCCGACGGCGGCCGACGGCCATGGCAGCGGCGCCCCGCCGAGGAGAGCGAGGAGCCACGGCGGCAGGAACATGGCGCACCTGTCCTGTCGGGGCCAGGCGGGCCAGGCGGGCATCCCTGGGGCCGTATTGGTGCTCCTCCGACGGGCAGGAGGCGGGGCCGCCGCCGCGGCCGGGGCCCACGGGCCCACCTTCGAACGGCCGCCGCGCCGCGGTCTCGGCACCGCCTCGCGCTCGCTGTCCGTCTCTCTCGCACTCCTGCGTCGAGCGCGGCCGCCCCCCCGCCGCCGGTGGGCGAACAGCGGCAACACCGCGCGCGCAGCTGAGCGACTGCTAGTGGCGGCCGCGCGGGTCTGGGGCACTCAAGCGGTCCTGTGGCGCAACGGATAACGCGTCTGACTACGGATCAGAAGATTCCAGGTTCGAATCCTGGCAGGATCGGGTCTCTTTTTTTGTATTCTCGGCTGCGCTCGTTCGATGCTTCGGCGCTTGACGCGTCTGTTTCTATTTTGGACTGATAGCCGATGAGCAGCAGAGTGATTTCGTCGGCCTGTCTCTCTCGCTCCCTTACGGAACGCCCCGTGGGTGCGAGAGAGGGGCCTCCCCCTCGGAATCAGTCTGCTGTATCGGTCGTAACTCTCGACGGGAATCATTAAAAATGAATCAACTTATCACTAGACCGACTGGACCAACGCCGTGGAGCTCTCTAGACGTCCGCCCCGCCGAGCCATGCAGCTATTTCGGTTATTCTTCGGCGGAATGTCCCGGCGATCTAAACTTGAATCGTCGCAGGATTTGGTTGATCCCGCGGATACACACGAAGCCCGCCTATTTTGCGGCGCTGATCTGAAGATGAAAATTGATCTTTGGACTTACTCTGAAATTCCGGCTGTATCTCCACGTTGGTCGTGGTGTACTGCAACAATGTATGATAACTGCTGACCTTCCCTCGCGATACGTGTTACGCCTCGGCATTTTGAGCAACCTGCCGCAAATGGAAAAGTGTACGCTGTATCACGTATCGGTCCAAAAGTCCAACGGTCCAACGGTCGAGAGGTCCGATTTGAGTCTCGGTACAGCTGTATTGATCACGCCGATTTCGATTTCGCCTCTACCTCGTCGATCCCTTTTCAAAACGTGCGAGGAATGGCGCCAAAATGTCTCGTATGGTTGCGAGAGAGACAGACTGACGGCAGCGTCGTTCTATACGGCAATCCGCATCGCAACCAACGCGGTAGAAATAGTAACCGGATTGGGTATGAGAAATCAGGTGTGCGGAAATCCTCAAATTGCGTGCAAAATGTGCAAATGCCCTCCGCACTCACAATTTCTCATGAAGGATCGAGATATATTTCTTCATGGGTTCCGGCAGGTTCCGGTCCGGATTGCGTCACCTTATAAACGGCAGACCCGCGCCCCTCCAATTTTTCAACATTTTCCCTGACCGTGGCCGTGCCGTGCGTGCCCTCGTGACACTGTGGGCACTGGTGGAGGCGGCCAAAATTCTAGGCGCGTTTTGAGCTCCAGAGGCGCTAAAAGGGACTCGAACCGAACGTGTGACCCCCACCTATGGATTGCTCTCTGAACCTGGAAAGCATTGGTGGGGTCAAACGTTCGGTTCGAGTCCTATGTAGCGACTCTAGAGCTAAAAATGCTTCTGGAGTTTCGGCGGCCTCATCTGGCCCACTGTGCGCGCTCGCTGGGCCCCCACACCCGCGACACGTCGCACAGTGGGCCAGAAGACCGGTTGCGGCGGGCGGACAAAACTCTAGACGCGCTGAGCTCTAGAGCCGCTGGGACCGGAACCGAGCGTGTGACCCCGCCAATGGATTGCTCTCCGAACGAGGAATCCATTGGTGGGGTCACACGTTCGGTTCGAGTCCCATTTAGCGACTCTGGAGCTCAAAACGCGTCTAGAGTTTTGGCCGCCTCCACCGGTCTTCTGGCCCACTGTGCGTCGGTGGGATTTGTGTGGAGTCCAAGCCGCCCTGGCGAGGCGAGGCGAGGCGGGCACAGGCCGTGGCCAACCGGCAAACCAGGACATGGCGACGGGCATGTTCCGCTGATAAGCAGGACACGCCAGGAAGGCGCACTCTTTCTCCTTGTTTCGCCCCCGAAAAATAAGTACGAGTTCATTATTGCGCGCACTTGTTGACATTGGCGACCTCGTCGCGCCATGATTCGCCCCGTGAGTGCGAGAGAGACAGCGACGAAGGCTCTGTTCGGGATCAGCCTGTTGTCACACCGGGTACACCCGAAACTGTGGCGTTCTTTACGCAGAAAATGTCGGGGATAGATAAAGGTCACTCCGCAGTTATTGATACTTACACTAGCAAAACCAGCAAAACAGCAGGCAATTGCATACTCGAAAACAAAGCAAAAACCGTTTGGAGAAAGTAGTGCACTTGTACAAAAACGGGCGTGGTCGCGACATCCTGCCAGGGGAATGCTACTACAGTGTGAGGCCGAGCTGATAGTTCCGGTCAGGCAGGTTGCCTATCAGGCGGGCGCGTCCGGGACTTGGCTTGCCGCGCTGTCCGAGTCCGGACGACCTCTTTTCGGGACACGACAACGTGTTGTTTGGCCGTGGTTTGGCGGAGGCACCGTTGGCTGTCATACTAACTCCGCGTTTTGTCTGTTGCAGCCCCAACGCGTACTCCCGGACAATGCAGTACTTCCACCCGGACCCAGCGCACAGCTCGGCGTCGCAGATGTGGAACACGACAGGTGAGTGGTGCGCAAGTGGGTCAGAAGACCGGTGAAGGCGGTCAAAACCCCGGACGCGTTTTGAGCTCCAGAGTAGCTAAGCGGGACTGTAATTGAACGTGTGACCCCACCAATGGATTCCTTGTTCGGAGAGCAATCCATTGATGGGGTCACACGTTCGGTTCGAGCCCAGTTTAGCGACTCTGGATCTCTAGACGCGTTTCGACTTTTGGCCGCCTGCGGCGGGCCCACTGTGCTGCCCGCTCCGCACTTCTGAACGCGGCTGTACTAATTGCATGGTTTTGCTGCAGACTCGGACTACAGCTCGCTGACGACGGCCAAGCCGGCACACATCACGCTGCCCGCCTTCAGCAACCAGCGCTTCGTGACGTCGCCGCTCGTGACGTCGCCGATGGCGTCCCGCAGCAGCCCGTCGCCGTACAGCCCGCCCAGCTCGGCGCCCTCCACCGCCTCCTACCTGGGCACCACGACGGCGGCCGGGGCCTCGGCGGTGGCCTCGCCCGACGGCACCGCGCTGTGGCCGGCCTACGCCACGGACGGCGGCATGTACTCGGGGGGCTCCACCAGTCCGCGGCACCGCATCGCCCCGCTGGCCAACACGGCGTCCGCGTCCCTGACAGCGAGTGAGTACCTAGTGGAGTACGAAGTGGACGCCGCCTTGTGTACTAACAACTTTGGAAGTCGAGAGCCGAACAACAGATTCGATGGTGCTATGAGCCGAACGGAACCAGGACTTTTTACCGTAGGAACGGCTGAGGGTGGGGAGGTCGGGGTGTAGGTTCCCGACTAGGGCAAGCGTGAAGCTGTGCGTCGGTCCCGCCTGGAGTCTGCTGCGCCTCTTTGCACCTGTCTCTCTCGCGCCCCTACGGGACTCCTCACGAGTGCGACGGTGACAGCGAAAAGGAAACGACTGTTCGGAACTAACGACGTACAGCTGGCTGATTCCCAGAGCCGATCTTGTCTCTCTGTCTCTCTCGCACTCAAGGAGCGTCTTGTACCGGTGTGAGAGAGACAGAGCGACGAAACGACCTCCTGGAATCAAAGTGCGGGAGGACGTGGGCGTGGTGGTGCACCATGGTGGTGGCCGGGCCTCGCCGTGCGCTCTCCGCGGTCGCGCCGAATCACGCCAGGCCTTGCCGCCTTACCGCCTGGCCCCGGCTTTGACTGCGGCGGCGAGGCGGCGACCTGGCCCGCGATGATTGATATCTCGTTTCTGGAAAGTTCGTCTGCCTCGTGACAAACTCACAAAACCGCGGGCCGCCGTGCGTATGGCGTCTACCCTCAACCGGCCCGCCGCCGCCCGGCCAGCCCGTCCGTCGATAAGGCCGTAATTAAAAACGCGCCGTCTCTCTCGCACCCCTTCGGTGCCCTCGGAACGCCCCGTGAGTGCGAGAGAGACAGAGCGACGAAGGCACTGTTCGGAATGAGCCTCCTGACGCGACGGCGGACACGGAATGTGGGTTCATGCCGCCCCACCCCACCCCGCCCCGCCCCGCCCCGCGTCGCGGCGCCACCGGTGCACGTGCCCGCGGGGAATGTCAACACGGCCCGGGGTGGGAAAACGAAAACAAGACGGGCGGCGGGTATTCGAACCCGAGCCCCCGCGCTGGAGCCACGCTCGAGCCGCCAGTCACCGGGCGCTGCGGCGCTCCGCGATGAGTGAAGGACCGCGTGCAGGACGCGCAGGTTGCCATGGGTGCTCCCACCGCGCCCCACGGGGGGCATGTTTGAATGAGTAGGTCGAGGCGGCGGCGGTAACGAGCTTGGAATTGCTTTCATTAGTGGTGACACACACAAACACACACACGCGCCGGACTTGGTTTCACGTCGCGGCCGGCGTGGCGAGGCGTTCATCACCGTGAACTACTCCAGACTTCCCCGTCGTGGGAAAAGGAACGCCACCCCCACGCTAGACGGGGCCGTTTGCGGGGAGTCCTTGAACCTGCCTCGAGCTGCTTGGACCTAGAAGCACACCCTGCGCGACCGCAGACGTCGAGGTGCTTGTACTTGCTGGCGTGACCAAAGCACAAAAGGGCGTGCTATTTCGGAGCCTTGCAGGATAGGCAAAAGCCCACGATCAGACAGAAGACGCCCGTCTTTCTGTTTTTCCAACTTTGCCGTACGAATGTGGCAAATTTCCTCCGCCGCGACGCAGCGGTTCTGCGGGTCGGTCCCGTGGGAGAGAACGGGCATCCCGGTGGAAGTGTTAAACGCGGCACCTGCTGCCGATTACCCCGCGCGCCCCCAACGCCCCCCTCACCCTGGACACCACTCATGTTAATGGCGCGTTTGACAGATTTATTGGTGACTGCGTGAAATCCGAGCGCCCCCACCGCACGGCCCGACTCGGGGCGGGGGAGGGGTGGGGGAGGTTCTAGTCAGCCGGCCGCCGCCGCCGCACCGCACAGTGGGCCGTGGAAGCGGCCAAAACTCTAGACTCGTTTTGATCTCCAGAGTAGCTAAGTGGGGCTCGAACCGAACGTGTGACTCCACCAATGGATTGCTCTCCGAACGAGGAATCTATTGGTGGGGTCACACGTTCGGTTCGAGTCCCATTTAGCGACGCTGGAGCTCAAAACGCGTCTAAAACCGGTCTTCTGGCCCACTGTGCACCGCCTCGGTTAGTCACATTTGGGCATTATTTGTACTCGATTTACGACAGTTGGCAACTCTTTCCCCAGGTGGTCGCGTTCCTTCACATGCCAAGCAAGGATTGCCCGCTCCTGTCACGACGTCCCAAAAAACGGGCAAGAAAAAGCGCGTTGTTTCTTTTGGGGGAGGGCGCGTCATTTTTTTTCGCACCTCGGGGGACATATAGGAATAACATAACTTGTTTACGAGCGTCGGGTCAGGCCGTGCCCCGCGTGCCTTGCGCGCCGCGCGCACAGGTGGTGCCCTCTGCAGAGTCGTTCTCCGCTCTGTCTCTCTCGCACCTATACGGCACGCCCCATGAGTGCGAGAGAGACAGAGCGACGAAAACGACTCTCGGAATGAGCCCTCTGGTGGTGCTGCCGGGGGCCGTCTGTGCAGTCTGCGCCCCGCGGCAGTCCCGGCAGTGGGCGTGGACTTGGTGAGACAAAGTCTGTCTCCAAATGACCCCATCTCGTCACACGACCAACGTCCCTCACGGCACTTCAGACCGCGGTAAACTGTTGTTGATTGCTGCATAAATTAGCTGTAAAGCTCGCTAGCTTTTCGTGTATAGTTGCTCGCATAGCTCAGGCAAAGCGCAACGGCATAGTTATTTTTTCCCCTCCCTATTTTTCCTCTTTTTTTGGGGCGGTAGGGTTTAGGTCACGTTCGCCAGACAGCGCGTTAATTTTGACAAAGTTGCGTTCGATTTGCTCCGGTTTTTTCCGTCCCACCTCTTTCTGGAAAGGGAATCGTAATTAATCATTCATTTGTCATTTGGCGGAGCGCAGCAGTCGGCTTCACGAAGATGTCAGAAATAATACAAATACACTGCAAACCTCACTGTCTACTAAGTACACACTTATAAATGCAAAAAGTGTGTACTTAGTAGACAGTTAGGTTTGTAGTGTGTAGAACTCATGTTCCGAACTTATTTTTTGCGTGGGGTTTGTGCTGCAGTGATCAGAAAAGCTGTGCGTCTGTGCCCCCCCCCCCCCCCCCCTGGCTGGATGTAGACCGAGTGACAGTCTCTTATCGCGCGGGACACGCGCCCAGCTCAGCACGGCCCCGGTTCACTCATTCCGAACAGAGCCTCCGTCTCTCTCTCTCTCTCTCTCTCTCTCTCTCTCTCTCTCTCTCTCTCTCTCTCTCTCTCTCTCTCTCTCTCTCTCTCTCTCTCACACCCCTGAGGAGTACCGTGTAAGCGGGAGAGAGACAGAGCGATGAAAGCTCTGTTCGGAGTGAGCCTGCTGGGTGCTGCCCCCGGTGGCCGTCCCGGCCCCGGCGATACCATTTCATTTCGGTCCGTGCGTCCGTTCCCTTGTTGGCCGCGTTGCCATTACCATTACCATTAATGGCTAGACCACATATGATCGTATGCCATTTCGGGCCCGACACATGCCCGCCTGCACTGCAAAACGGGACATGGTCGTCCTTACTAGGGGAGAACTTTACCTCGGCGGGGAAGAACCTCAAGCGGCTACATGCCCCTGGCTCGCAGAGTGCCTTCCCCGCGGGTTAGTGGCAGGCCTTTCCCGTGAGGGTTGTGCCGTCCCTACCCTGGGCCAGCCTCTTTTGAGCTTGACCGAGTCCGGAACCCGCCTGCTTCGTCCCTTATTCTCGGGAACAGTTGCACCTTCGGTGTCTTCTTCTCTTCTTTCTTGACGCGTCCTGGCAATTGTTACTTTGCTTCACCCCTACCCTTTTCTTGATGTGACCTCTCGGCTGGAACAGGACTCTAACCCGAGGCATTACGCCCACCCCATACTCGTGTTCGGCCGCCACGGCGTCCGTCGGTGTGAGGCCTGGAGCCCTTCCCCGCGATGCTCCTCTGTGTCGCTCTGCATGCTGTTGTAGGCCTGCGACTACGAGAGAGAGGGCATGTGCCCCGTCTCCTCCGTGCAACACAACATGCAACGACTGGTTAGGTGCGAGGCTGGTGTTCTTCGGTCACAAGGGTCGTGGGGGCTGGAGGGGCGTTGCGCTGTATCCGCTCTCGGGGTGTGGGACAGCGCGTTGCTCTCGGGCCCCGGCTGGCCGGCCGGTCTGTCTGCTGAGCGCCAATCCGCGGCCCATGCTGGCAGCCGGCCGCGCCATGCGGACGGGGTTTGTCGTGCTCCCGATGGGAGCGCCCGATAGGTAGGCAACCCCTTGGAGCCCACCGTTGTTGGTGCTGCCTACACGCCGGGCGCGTAGGTGGTTGGCGCCGCATCGCCGCTGTGACCGCGACCTCGGCAGGCCGTGCGTCCCCTGTTGACTGCAGCGGTGGCGGCGACGGCGGGGAGGGGGTGACCGCCCGGTCAGCCAACCGCAGAGAGGTGGACACCAAAACCAACCCACAACCAGCCCAAGAACCATAACCAAAGTTAAAATCGGCACTCATCCATAGGTGTAGGTGTCTGTCTCCTTCCTTATGACTCCACGGCGTGATGTTATCCTGGTGCGCCCCTCCGGGTGCGCAGTAGTTTGTCTGGTGTCTAGGAATGTGGCAACACGGGACGTTGTCGCGCTGACCTGGCAATCTGCATTGCCTGCCACTGCACTGCATCTGGTCGGCGCCGTCGGTGCGAGTCGAGCTGTCCGAGCCTAGCCGAGCCCCAGGAGACGCGGTCGGTGTGCCGAGCCGGGTAATCCCCAATCCTCCGGCAGGTCCCTGCTCGGCATGGCCCGGCGGGCCAGCCGGTCCACTCCGGACACCGCCTCGTCGCGCCGTCCCTCTCGCTCCCCTTGGGGGAACCCACGAGTGCGAGAGAGACGCAGCAACAAAGGCACACCCCGGACTCAGCCTGCAGGCGGTGCGCTGCACGTGCGCCGCCGTGCGCGCGCTCGCTCGCACAATGATGGCGACTTTTCCCGTCCGCTACAGGGCCCCGCCGAGAAATTTCCCGCGCAGTGAATGCTTCTCTGATCGCCTTGTTGAACACGGGTGAACGGCACATCGGGTCAGCATGGCAGGTAGGGGGGCGACGCGGGGGACACACAACCGCTGCACTGGTGGATCCATGGCCGGGCCGCTTGCACAACGGACGCAACGGACTGGGTGTTGCACTGAACACCGCACTGAACACTGCACTGAACACTGCACTGAACACTGAACACTGGGCACTGCGCGGACACCGATTGGGGCACTGGCTGCTGGTTTTTCGCGGTACGTCAGCCCTGCGACCGGCAGGTCGGTGGACACGGTCGCCGCTGTAGTGGCCTGGCTGGACGGACGCTGCCTTGTAAACAAGGCGCCAAAAACTAATTTGCACAGAACTCGGACACTGTTGCACCGATCACCGCGACACTTCGAGCCTCGACGCACGGCGTCCACACGGACCGACTGGTACCACGTTCGACCCGGAAAACCGACTTTGTACCACCGAAAATCAAGGACAAACACGGAGCGACGTGACCCGCGTTGAGTCGACTCGAGCCCAACATGGCGACCGCCGGCCGCGTTGCCCGGCCCTCCCGGCCCTCGTCCTGTGGCTTACCCTTCCAGACGCGCTCCACAATTCCGGGAATGTAGACCAGCCACGATTGCCAGGTCCATGAAATATGTCCAGGGCGCGCCTCGTCCCGGTTTGTCCCTGTCCCGGCTGCACAGTGGGCCAGAAGACCGGTGTGGAGGCGGTCAAGACGCATTTTGAGCTCCAGAGTCGCTAAATGGGACTCGAACCGAACGTGTGATCCCACCAATGGATTGCTCTCCGAACGAGGAATCCATTGGTGGGGTCACACGTTCGGTTCGAGTCCTGTTTAGCGACTCTGGAGGTCAAAACGCATCTCAAGTTTTGGCTGCCGGCGCCCTTTTCTGGCCCACTGCGCGTCTCTCTCTGTCTCTCTCGCACTCTTGAGACGCAGTGCGAGAGAGACAAACTTCGGGGGGCGGAAGTTATTACCTGCGCGAAACGAGCGTCCAGTCGATTGACATCGATATTCCATCGCCGTTTTACAGCCCTTTCCCCCCGAAGAGTCGTGTCGTCATTGTCGGACCCCCGCTGGGGCTTTGTCCGACTCCGTCTGACTTGCTCGAGGACTTGCTCCGTCTGTGCGGCGCAGCGGCGCCCCGAACCCCCGAACGGTAGCCTCCCGGAACATGGCGCAGGTAGCGCAAGCGTCCTTCCGAAGAGGATCGTTTCGTCACTCTGTCTCTCTCGCATCCTCACGGCACGCTCCGTGAGTGCGACAGAGACAGAGCGACGCAATTCGCCTTCGGGATCGGATCGCCCGGCAGCGCGTCGTGCCACCGCCGCCACGGTCTCGGTCACCTTGCCTGGCGCCGTGTCTGCGCTGTTTCCGGGGACGCGGGGACGGCGTCGGCCACTACCAGTGCACCTCCCGGCCGGGTTCGCGCAATGCACTGCAATGCACCTTTTATTGCCACAAAGGGGTAGGCCGGCCGGCCGGCCGAGCCACACCCACCCCCACCTCCGGGGCTGAATGGTGTTGACACGGTTCCCAAATTGCCTGCACTGCAAACAGACTCAGGTGGATGCAAAACTGGCTCACGGAGGGCACACCTGACCCTCAAGAGGCCCTTTCGGCCGGCCCTGGCGGCGGCGGGGGCCTCCATTTCGGCTTGTTTGAGAACGTGAGGGTCCGGGCTAATCTGAGTCGACATATTGCAAATCAAACAGTGCATCCCTTTGTGCTGGCCGACCAGCAAGTCGATCCCGAACAATCACCGTCTCTCTCTCTCTCTCTCTCTCTCTCTCTCTCTCTCTCTCTCTCTCTCTCTCTCTCGCACTCGGGGCGTTCCACCGAAGGGGTGCGAGAGAGATAGAGCAACGAAAGCACGGATCGGAATCATACCCTCCCTCAGAGCACACGACGGGCGCGTGGCCGCCCACGCGTGTTTGTCCTGCGTCCTGCAGACTGATGCCGAGAGTCGTTTTTATCGCTCAGTCTCGCTCGCACCTGTACGGGATGCCTCATGAGTGCGACAGCGACGGAAACGACTCTCAGTCTGCTGCATACAGGTAGAGAGGCTGAGAGGCTCTCGTCGAGAGGTGCGACTCCCACACTCCCCGGCCGAGGCCCCGTGAGGCCCCACTCGGCCGGGACCGTGCAATGAACCTCTTTATTACGTGCAGCATTTCGCACGAGGGCAGTGTAGTGTCGGGGTGGTGTCGGACTGGAGGCCAACGACCCGTGTATCTCGTTCGAGATCTCGTTTCGTTCCCTCCTCGAATCTGTGGTTCGGTCTCGACTCTGTTTCCTGCCAGGTCTTCATCCCAGCTGACGTGCGTGCAATCAGCGCGTGGCTCTTGCTTTTGCCTGAGTGTTTGTTTGTTTTTACCTCTTTCTCCAGCTCTCTTTTACGATTTTTGTGCGCGTTGTTGTTTTTCCATGTGCAGCAAATGCAACAGCCTACGTTTCAGCCGATTGTCGTAGTATTATTTGCAGTGAATACATTTGAGTGCACAGCCAGACGAAAAAATAGAAAAAGAAATTACTTTTAAAAATGTCTGAGCTTAGTTTTTTTAAATTTCCGATCTGAGTAAAGTAAACAATGACAAAAACGAATTGCTGGCGTTGTGTTTGCTGCGGAGGCCTTGCCTGACCAGGCCGCTTGTTGCAGTCCCGGAGTATGAGATGCAGTTCAGCGAGGGCCGCGAGTGCGTCAACTGCGGCGCCGTGTCCACGCCGCTGTGGCGCCGCGACGGCACGGGGCACTACCTGTGCAACGCGTGCGGCCTGTACTACAAGATGAACGGCATGAACAGGCCGCTGTCCAAGCAGCCGCGCAGGATGGTGAGCTGGGGAACTCGGGTGCAGCGAGGCAGTGCACTGCAGTGGCCGCGCTGCATCCGCGGCCCGCCCTCACCGGCAACGCACACTGGATTTGCCAGAAGACCGGTGAAGGCGGTCAAAACTCCAGACGCGTTTTGAGCTCCAGAGTCGCTAAATGGAACGCGTGACCTCACCAATGGATTGCTCTCCGAACGAGGAATCCATTGGTGGGGTCACACGTTCGGTTCGAGTACCATTCAGCGACGCTAGAGCTCAAAACGCGCCCGGGATTTTGACCGCCTTCACCGGTCTTCTGGCAAATCCACTGTGCTGCGCCCGCCCGCCGTGGAGCACACCAAGCACACCGTCCAGTCGTTGTTTCCGTCCGTTGGTTCGCGTTTTGCCAAGACCAGGGCGTGGGTGTGCTCCCGGCCGCGGGGCGGGGCGTTGCGGGTGGGAGCGGGTTCAATTCACAAGGCTTCGTTCGGACAGAGTGGGAACTAGGGGGTGCGTGTGGGCCTGAGCCCCCTCCGGCCAGCCACCACCACCAGCACCAAGGCGGCGAAACAAAGGACACTTTGACCTCGCCGCCGGCGGTGGTGTTGGTGGCAGATCAGGAGTGGAGCAAGGCCGGCGTGACGTTTTCATCCAGATACACATCCACCCCGTGCTTGAGAGTCTTTCCACGCAAACATCCCCACTTCCACCCCCGACTGACCCTCTCCCTGCTTTGCTTCCAGAGCCCTAAGCCGCCCGCTGTCTGTCTAATTTCTCATACCGAATCTCTTTTTTGAGACTTTGTCGCACTTGTCTTGCGTTGCCGCGAAGCAGGGCGCATGAGAAGTGGCTCTCGGGGGTGACTGTGTGCTTCGTTTGCGTGCTGTGTGCTTCCAGCGTGGCATGCGGTGGCAGGCATGGCCACACAGACAACGCGACGCTAGCGCCAGCTGGGGCACGCCAAGTACGTCAAGCACGTCAAGCAGGCGGTGGGTGTGTATCTGGTATGTCCTTAGGGGGGCCGAAGCTAGCCGAAGCTCAGCGGACCGAAGCCTTGTAGATTCCCCGGCTCCTCACCAAGTACGATGTTGACGCGCGCGGTTCGGACTTTCTCGAGCCAAAGAAAGTAGGGTTGCGAACCTCGGCCTAATTGCCCGGCTTCTCTTGTTTGCTATCTTGCAGTGGCCGCGTCCGGGGATATCTACAAGGCGAGGTTCAACTATGGGTTTAACCCCGCGGGCCCTCCGGCGGGAGGACCCGGAGGACCCCGGCCCCCCCTACAGGACGAGAAGGCGAGCCGTCGCTTGGTAGGTCTCAGTCCCTCTCGCAGTGTAGTTGTAGTGCATGACTAGTTTGCTTTGGCTGGGGTCGCATTCTGGTATTCTGTCCGCATTTGCAGTCGCCTATGCGGCTGCGGAGCTCGTCACAGTGGATTTGCCAGAAGACCGGTGGAGGCGGCCAAATCTCTAGACGCGTTTTGAGCTCCAGAGTCGCTAAATGGGACTCGAACCGAACGAGTGACCCACCAATGGATTGCTCTCCTAACGAGGAATCCATTGGTGGGGTCACACGCTCGGTTCGAGTCCCATTTAGCGACTTCGGAGCGCTCAAAACGCGTCTAGAGTATTGGCCGCCTCCGGTCTTCTGGCAAATCCACTGTGCTCGACTATGCAGTGGCATGGACTGCCGCCTGATTCCGCACATCGCCGCCGACGCTCCGCCTCTCTCGCACTCGCGGGGCGACCCGCAGAGGTGCGAGGGGGGCGGAGTGACGAGACGTCGTCGCGCGTGGTTAGGCAACCCACGATACTCTGTAGACGAACATCCAGGCCAGAGGCGCATCTGCAGCGCCCCGAGAGCGCCATCAGTTTTGCTGCCTCCCCCCCCCTTCCGCTCCAGTATTCGTAGTACATTTGTGTACATCACCAGCTACCTTAAGATGACCGCTATCCCCCTGCCCCCTTCCCCTTGGTCGTCGGGCGGCCGGCGTTCGAACCGTTCGAACCACTTATGTGCCGACGGACGGCCACTACTTTCCTGAGAGCAGGTAGCCGTCGTGCCCCGACAGTCCCATTAGGTGGTCCCGCCCCGCCCCCGTGGCGCGGTGGGGTCGGCGGCGTGGTGCCTCGGCGTGGTGCCCGCATGCCCACACCTTCTTATCGCGCAGTGCCCCGTCCCGACCCGCCCCGACCCGTCCCGACCCGTCGCGTCCCGTGCCCGAAGGGTCGGCCCGGCGTCCTGGGCTTCCTGCCGCACTCTGTCGTGTCCGCTGTCCGCTTGAAGGATGTGTGGTCGTTTCTTTCCGCTTTGGCGCCACATTTCGCGGCTCAATTCCCCCCCCCCCCCCCCCCCCCCCCGCCGCCGCCGCCGCCGCCGTGCGCGGTGGGCACGGCTTCCCGTCGCTCCCGCTGGCTAGCTACAACAAACCCGAGTCGGGGCCACGACATTTTCAAAATGGGTTCTCTGACTCGCTGTCTGACCGTGGCACTGTGTCCGTTGCAGAGCGCCACCCGCCGCCAAGGCCTGTCCTGCTCCAACTGCGAGACCAAGATGACGTCCTTGTGGCGCCGGAACGCGAGCGGCGAGCCGGTGTGCAACGCCTGCGGCCTGTACTACAAGCTGCACAACATCAACCGGCCCCTCGCCATGAAGAAGGACAGCATCCAGGTACGGCGTCTGCTGCAGACTGATTCCGAGAGTCGGGGCCAGAAGACCGGCGGAGGCGGTGAAAACTCCGGACGCGTTTTGAGCTCCAGAGTCGCTGAACCGGACTCGAACCGAACGTGTGACCCCCACCAATGGATTCCTTGTTCAGAGAGAAATCCATTGGTGGGGTCACACATTCGGTTCGAGTCCAGTTCAGCGACTCTGGAGCTCAAAACGCGTTCTGAGTTTTGGCCGCCTCCGCCGGTCTTCTGGCCCACCGTGCGGCGGTCTCGAGGCTGACGAAGTGCGTCTTGCTGCTTGCAGAGCCGGAAGCGGAAGCCCAAGGGCGGCAGCGCCAAGTCTGTGATCGGCTCGTCCAGCGGCGCCGCGGTGTCCAGGGCGTCGCTCATCACGCAGCACACCACGCAGCACGCCACGCAGCACACCGCTAAGAACGATCACCCCACCGCAGGTAAGTTAGGAGGCGCACGTGTGTCTGTCTCTCTCGCACTCATGGGGCGTCTCGAGAGGCTGCGAGAGAGACAGCGACGACATGGTCCCAGGGGCGTGCACAGCTCGCCTCCTCGGGAGGGGCGGTGGAACCTTCTTTTCAGGGACTTTGCCTAACTTCCAGGAGTTAGACGGCAAAACCTGCCTCAAAAGTATACCTTTAGGGGTCCTTCGGGGGGGGCGATCGCCCCCTCCGCCCCCCCCTTGTGCACGCCCGTGCATGGTCCAGCCCGGCGGAGCGCGCCTCGCGGCAGGCAGCACGCAGGGCGCCGCTGTCGCGCGGCACGGCGTGGCCCAAGGCGTCGCTACCCCATGCCGGCTGACTCTGGCGGCGATACCCCGCGCCTTCAGGCTGGCATCGTCACTTGTTATCAGCGACGCTGACGCTCGATGTTCCTTTCCGTTTTCCAGGGGACTCCTACGCGCACCACCTGCTGGGCATGACGAGCGCGGCCACCAGCCTGGTCAGCACGCTGGCCACCACGCTCAGCAGCACTGGCGGGCTGTCTTACCCTAACCTGTTCGCGCAGACCCACCAGCAGGCCCACCACCACCAGCAAGCCCACCATCACCAACAGCAGGCCCACCAGCACCGCGGCGTGGCCACCAGCCCCACCAACTACCACCAGCATCACTACAGCCACGAAAGCGCGCCGTTCTTCGACTTCTCCGCGGCGGCCGTCAGCGGCGTGAGCCACAGCCCCGACGGCGTCTCCCCCAAGATCGAGTGCCCGTCGCCCCCCGCGGACCAGAGCCAGCACGCCCACCACGCCCACCACGCGCACCACCACCACCGGAACGCCAACGATGACCTGTCCCCGCACATCGTCAGCGTGAGCAAGCAGCTGCACAACAACAACAACAGCAGCACCAACAACAACAACACCAAGGTGTTGATGATGGATAGCGGCTTGGCCGAGAGGCCCTCGGTTGTGTCCAGCCTGTAAGCTGACTGGTACGTAATGTAATCTAGGAATAAACCCTCTGAACAATACTCGTTGACTATGGAAGTCGTCACAATCAAGTTTTGTAAAGACAAATGTTTTTGAAATACGTGGTAGATGTTTAAAATTTATTGTATACTGTAGAGCGACGTTGCAAGGTTGCACCTTGTTCCCCCATACTTACCATTCCAAATGATGTAAATATTTTGTTGTTGTTGTAAAGAGACTTTTAGTCATATGCGCAAGTCATATGCGGTCATGTTTTGTTATCTTGAGTTTAGACAGCTCTCAGTCAAGCAGCAAACTCTGGGAACTTTTTTGTGTAAGCTGGAAAACCAAAGACGTAATACCAAAATGCCCACTCGCTCCTGAAAGTATACAGTGAGGCACATGAATGTTGGCAGAGCTCCCTAACAATTCTTTAGAGAGGTTTCCCTTAGGCCCAGAGCCAAAATGGAAAGTCTTATTTTCTTGTACATAAAATCACTTTTCAGAAATATTTGATCTCCACTCTCATTTTAGTCATATTTTCTTTTTGTATTGTTATTTAGTTGCCCAACGTTGGCCTGTGATTTTTAAATTGAAATATAAAAATCAGCTTTTGGAATCATTCGTGGTGAAAGTTGTAATTAAAGGTGCAACTGCCACATGTGAGAGTGAGTGTCTGAATGTTTGTATATGTATGTGTGTGTATCTGTGTTTTTGAATATAGCATTGTAGTCGTATGCCTGAGGCTGTCATAGTCAATCCCCTCAGGCTTTCTGAGTGTTCTCCAGTCATATGTAAGAATTTATATCATTTGTTCCTCTGTGCATAGAGACAAATATTTATCATCAGAGGACTTTTTATCATCATGATTTATGTATATAGATTGATTAAGATGTTTTAAAATATATATATGTTTGGTATATATACTTTATACATGGGTGGATGTATTACTCACCCATGTACTTGTTTATTTTTTTAAGAAAATTGTTCCAATTTTATTTTTGAGTTAAATATATTTTTATACAAATTGTACAGAACGTTGATATAGCTCGTAAATGAATTTTAAATTTAGGTTTCTACTTGATTGTTCACCTTGTTACTTACTGTATAGTATCATTAAAATATGCTGCCAATTTCCATTTTCATGGACCGAATGGTTTTACATTAAAAGAACTAGACTGAAAAAGACTTCATTATTCTAACCTCAGTGAAAATTTTCCCGAGGGCAAGATACTGTACTTTCAAGTGTTTTGGTGGCTTGGAGGACAGAGGTAGCCGTCGACCCGTCCCGACAAGTGGCTGGAGTTCAAATATCAAGCATGTCAAAAAATTTCAAGTAGCTTCTCAAACCTAGTACGATGACTCTAAGATTGGACACAATGGCTTGATGTGTTGTCGTAGCTCAGGTGGCAGAGCAATGGGCAAAGAAGGCCACTGAGATGAAGACCTATGTTTCACTCCCAAGCAGAGCACTTCCCTGTGGCGTGCCCAAAGGGTGGTCTACCTTCCTGGCGCGGTGCTCTGGACCTTGACGACAAAAAATTGCTATATTAAAGGAAAACTTCCGTTTCTTTGTTGCTTTTTTCTGTTGGCTCCCGCGTAAGGGGCAAATGGTCGTCGCTTTTCCCTGCGGGGTGAGCAACCCGTCGCACAGCGGCGCAGCCTTGCCGGCCTAACCTGGCGGCGCCGAGTGCGCCAATACCCCGCGGCCTCTCGCGGCCGGGGTATCGCCTCATGGCCGTCTACGTACATAGTCTGAATTTCGCGCGCAGCCGCAGGGAGCGACCATTCTTCGACTCGAGTAACACACAACGCACACTATGCCGCTTTGCTGATCGTAATACTTGATTGGTTTGATTCGATTTTTCTGCAAAAGCCGTCGTCGAAACCGAATAGGTATCGGTGGGGCATTCTCCAGTCCCTGCCCGCCGCCTTGTCCATGAGTGTGACCTCAGCTGACGACGAGCCGTCCGAATATGGATCACCTCTCCCGAGGGATCCCGAAGGATCGCTTCATCGCTCTGCTTCTCACTCACACCCCTACGGAACGCCCCATGGGTGCGACAGAGACAGAGCGATGAAGGATCCCATGGATGGCTCGGCTGCGGCTGGGCCGGAAGACCGTTGAAGATGGCTAAAATTCTAGACGCGTTTTGAGTTCCAGAGTCGCTGAGTGGGACTCGAATTGAATGTGTGACCCCATCAATAGATTGCTCTCCGAACGAGGAATCCATTGGTGGGGTCACACGTTCGATTCGAGTACTGTTTAGTAGTGACTGTGAAGCTCAAAACGCGTCGAGAATTTTCGCCGCCTCCACCGGTCTTCTGGCGCACTGTCCGCCGCTAGGCGCGCGTTCGAATTTCCGGCACGATAACCACCTTGCGGCGCTTTGCGGCGCTTTGCGGGCTTTCCGCACCGTTATGGCAAGTTCAGCCGTTCGGCGATAAGATAGCGGCCGATCGCAATGCGCTCCGTTCGCACACAGTGTGCCACACACGCCCCCCGCCCGCCCCTTTCACAGGCCGCCTTTCGATTCACTAAAAATAATTATCGAAAGACAAGAATTATCGCCTTTATCGAGGCGGCTGGCACGCGCCCGCACGCGCCGCGGCAGATTGCCGCGCTGGAGGCCACCCCGCCGCCCCGCGCTCCGCCACGTCACGGCGTCTCTATCGAAATATCCCCGACCGTTAGTGGTTGAGATACGGAATGGTTATCGCGGAAGGGACGTCGCGCGCGGCCTCGGCGGCCTCGGTGGCCTTGGCACGGCGAAGCAAGGCGGCAGCGCGGCAGTCGGGGGTGCGCGACGCGCCCGAGCAACGCGTTGAGGCGGGTCAGGGCGGTCCGATTCGGATTCAGATTGGGATTGGCGAACCGCGGTGGCCGCCTCTGGCCGCGCTAGGCTGGCTGCCGACGTCGCACGAGTCGCACCCCCCATGCGCCGTCTACCTGTGTGGCTCACAAATTTACCATTTGGGCCGGGGCCGGTCAGTATACGCCTTGGCGGTCGGGGGCATCCTACAAAATGCCCATTTGCGCTATTTGGTTGTCTACCCTCACACTTTTACACTTTTGCTTACGCACCTCCACGTCCGTTGAGAGTCCTCAGCGCGTTTAGCTCTTCGGTGCTTGGTCCGATTGAATATGAGGCACTCGTGACGGAGCCGTTTGTTGAACGTCCAACCTCGAACCTTGAACCTTGGCCCTCCTTTGCTTGTAAACGTCAGCGTCAAAACTATTGGTCCAGTGAAAAATAAAAACACACTGCACTGTCACTGCACCTGTCTCACTCCAGCCAACGACTGATTGTGAGCGATTGTCGCTGCCCAAAGTGGGAGTGGAAGTGAATGTGTCGCCCCAATCGGGGAACTTGAACGCGGGAGCCGCGGCGCGCCGCCCGCACTCGGGTCAGTGGTGGATGGATCTAGAGCCGGCCTGAAGGAAGGTCGGAGCAGCACTTTCTGCAGCCTACAGCCGACAGAGCGATGAAGGATCCCAGGGATGGCTCGGCTGCGGCTGGCGCCGCACTGTGGGCCGGAAGACCGTTGAAGATGGCTAAAAATTCTAGACGCGTTTTGAGTTCCAGAGTCGTTGAATGGGACTCGAACCGAACGTGTGACCCCATCAATGGATTCCGCGTTCGAAGAGCAATCCATTGGTGGGGTCATACGTTCGGTTCGAGTCCCATTTAGCGACTCTGGAGCTCAAGACGCGTCTAGAGTTTTGGCCGCCTCCAGCGGTCTTCTGGCCCACTGTGCGGCCTTTAGTCCTTGACAGTGTCACGACTGCAGCCAATGACGACGACCCGGCGGAACTTGCACGGCCTTGCCACGACGGCGTCAGCCCTGGCGGCAGCCTCTCCGTGGGAATCCTCGGTGCTCTGGGCGGCGAAAGTAGACACTATGCAAACACCGCGCGCTGCACCGCGCCGGCCGCGCTGGCCCACAACATCCTGCCGAGCCGACGCCGAGACGGGGATGGGCGTGGGGCGCCGCGTGGGCGTGGCGCGGCGCGCGGCGAACGCCAATGAGTGCAGGAAACAGGCTGCGCGCCGCGTCGCGCCGCGTCGTCCTGGAGGACATCCTGAAGACCGCGGTGACGCAAGAGCGACGGCGGCGCAGCGCGGCGCAGCGTCACTGCGGTGATTCAGAACAAGGCCGAGTCATTCCCTCTACTTGGAAAAACGCCACCACAAAAATCGGGTGAAAAGGACGGGAGTTTTTAGCGGCGTCGGCGCGGGAAATGGGAGTACCCACGTGAGCCAGGCCCAGTTCCAGGACGCCATCGTCTTTCACAGTAATGTCCGCGCCAAACCTGCCGATGTGAGAAGTCGTGACTGTTGCAGCTTGTTGCAAGGGGACAATATTTGAGGAGCCGCTGCCTGCAGCCAGCCCGGGTACGCCCTATGCAGGCTGTTGTCGCTCTGTCTCTCTCGCACCCGCAGGGCGGGCCGCGCACGAGTGCGAGAGAGACGGAGCGACTGTTCGGAGGCAGCCTCCAGACGCGCGACGCAACGGGAAGGGGTGGCGGTCGCAGCGCGCCGCACAGCCGAGAGCGGAGAGCGCTTTGTCGCTTTGTCCCCACAGCGGGGCGGCGTGGGCCTACTCGGCGCAGGGCGCGGCGCGGCCAAAAGCAACCTTTGGTCCTGATAAGCGCAGCCAAGCGGAGAGCGCCGCGCCCTCTCTCTCGCACTGCCGGGGCCGCCGGGGGCCTCGGGACGGCGGGACGGCCCGGGCACCCTCGCCACGCCTCGGGCTTATCGCCGGGCTCATGACCCAGGCTGCACGGCGCTGTATTTGCACAGCGGGGCCGCCGGGCCACGCAGCGAGACGCACCTCAGGTGCACCCCGCCCCCTCCCCCTCCCCCGCCCCTTCGGGCCCCGCGGGGCCCAGCGAGCCCCTCAAAGCCCCGCAGCTCGACGCTGGGCGACGCCGGGCGACGCCGGGCCGCCCCGCGCTTCGCCTCCACCTCGCCGGGCCCACCGGTCCCCTGATAACGCGGCCAGATAAGCCGCATAAGCCGCCCCCCTCCCCCGCACCCCATCCTGCCCGTGTCCCACGCACTTCAGCCGAACCGTCCCCGCCAGAGCTGCGGCCGGGGCCCTCCGTAAACCTGGAGTGGCTGTCCACTTCGACGGCAGCGCGTCCACCGCTGCTCACATCCACACACGGCAAGCGCGGATGGCTTTTGTTCTTGTTGGCCCTGATGGTGACGGCCATGATGTTGTTGTTGGAGTGGCGCCGCTTGCGGGGAAGTCCGGCCGGCGGGTTGGCGCAACGGAGCCAAAGCCGGGCGAAGCCAGGCGTCCGAGGCCGCGAGGCGCGACACAGTGGGCCAGAAGACCGGTGGAGGCGGCCAAAACTCTAGACGCGTTTTGAGCTCCAGAGTCGCTAAGCAGGTCTCGAACCGAACGTGTGGCCACCAATGGGTTCCTAGTTCGGAGAGCAATCCATTGGTGGAGTCACACGTTCGGTTCGAGTCCAGTTCAGCGACTCTGGAGCTCAAAACGCGTCTAGAGTTTTGGCCGCCTCCACCGGTCTTCTGGCCCACTGTGCGCCCGAGGCCGCGAGGCTCGAGGGCGCGGCGAGGACGCGCGGTGTCCGCGAGGCCAGCAGATAAGGAGCGGCCAGCGAGCAGCGTCGTCCTTTCGGCTAAAAAACAATGCAGGGAACGGGCAACGGAGGGAAGGTATTAAAAAGATCGCTGTGGACAGATGGACGTTATTATTGTTTACGGAGCACTGCCCTCGTTGCACCTCGAGAAGCGCCACCAACAAGTTTGCTAGCCTCATTCATTCTGATTGGCAGGCTTGCATTGAGTTGCATAAATATGAGACAAGGAGCACTCTCGTAGAAATTGCAACAGGAAGGAAATTTCCCCGTCGTACAAACCAGCTGCTGCTCAGCGAAAGTCCCAGTGCTCGCGGCGGCCGCCACGGAGTGCACGGTGTGCCAACGCGTGCACGGGAGGCCGGCCGCCATCTTGGCTGCTGATGGCGCGGCGCGGGGCGGCGCGGCCCGGCGCTGTGTTTGAACACGGCGACGGCAGCGCAGCCCCGCGGCGCGCCGCGCAAGCTGGGCTGCACACCTAGCGACTGCGGCTCGGCGGCACCGTGGACTAGGGGGCTGGTCTGGGCCTCCCCGCCGTCCACCGCGCACGCTCGCTTTTTCGTGTCGTCCCGAAGTCGAAGTCCCGGCCGACACATTTCTGTGATTTCCACGCGCAGAGCACACACGCGCACCGCGCCGCCGCGGTCTGTGTTTCGAGTGTCACCACGACCGCCGCCGCCAGGACCGACGTCGACGGCGTCCTCCACACAGGTGAGTCCGGGTTGGCGTCAGGACGGCGCCCCGGGCGGCGCGCTGCCCTGGGACGTCCCTCAGTGGGCCAGAAGACCGAAGGAGGCGGCCAAAACTCTAGACGCGTTTTGAGCTCCAGAGTCGCTGAACAGGACTCGAACCGAACGTGTGACCCCACCCCTCTCGTTCGGAGAGGAATCCATGGATGGGGTCACACGTTCGGTTTGACTCCCATTAAGCGACTCTTTTTGACCGCCTCCACTGGTCATCTGGCCCACTGCGCGTCGCCGACGACACGCACACACCCACACTCATACACACCCGCGCTCGCGCGTACACGCCAAAACAGCCACACGCGCGCGCTCTCGGCCTGCTCGTCGGCGTGCTCGGCGGCGGCCAGGCCGTGGTGCGCACGGCTGCAGCACGCGCACGGCAGTGCCAGGGCAGTGCTGGCGCTGCTCCGCCATGCTCCGCCCGGCTACGTCGCGCTCGTCAAACTGAAGATACCAGCTTCAGATATTTCCTCCCGGCGGGGCAGGGCTCTCCGCTTCCTAGGCGGGCGAAAATATCTGGTGCAAAGGCAAATCTTATCATAGTGCCCCGAGCCGTCTCTCAGCCCGCCACCGCTCGGCGGCCGCGACAAGGGCGGCGAGGACTCACCCCCGCGGCAGTACGACGCGGACGTGCAGGGCGTCACCGAGGCCGCGGCCCACACTCGCCGCGGGGACGGCGGGCAGACACCGCCGCGAGTTCAACGCACGTGTGAAATGACCTCAACGCGTCTTCTTTCTCCGCCTCTCTCTTATGTTTGTTTTTCTAATTCCCCAATCGGTAGAGCACAACCATTCCGTTCTTATCGAGCAGCCAGTAACCTCGCAAGGTGCACGCACGCGCGAGCCGCGCCTTCCAGAAATGAAACGAAAGAGACGCGCTTCAAAAACGAACTTGTCGAACGAACTTCAGTGGAAAATACGAATGGACTGACAGGCAGAGGGACAGAAATTTTGACTCTCTCTCTCTCTCTCTCTCTCTCTCTCTCTCTCTCTCTCTCTCTCTCTCTCTCTCTCTCACACACACACACACCTACACACACTGGCACGTCAAGCTACCGGTCGGCGGCCTAGCGCCGGTCATTCGGCGGCTAGGCAGCCCGGCGAGCCCGCGTGCGCGGAGGAGCCGGTGGCGGCCTACCTCGCGCCGCGCCGCCGCGCCGCCGGCCAGCACCGTCGCCGTCACTCCGTCACTCGGTCCCCGTGCCACAAAGCCGGCAGGTATTTTCCGTCGGACCTTTGCCTTCGCGCGCGACGGGCAGCACACTCTAAATGTAGGGTGTCCAGAAACTGGGCGCCTTTGTCGCCCGCCCCACTTTTTAGGGTGCCAAGTGTCGCCCAGTTTCTGGGCACCTTTGTCGCCCAGTCTGGGGGTGGAAAATCCACAAAGGAACCTGCCTTCACCCATGGCTCAGCAGCGACTAAGGTGCCAAAGGTGCCCAGAATCTGGGCACCTTAGTCACCCAGGAACTAGACACCTGTGCATCCTCTACCATGGGAGAGGGCCGGTTACTGTATGATTTGTCCACCCCGAGACTGGGTGACAAAGGGGCCCAGAAACTGGGCGACATTTGGCACCCTAAAAAGTGGGGCGGGCGACAAAGGCGCCCAGTTGCTGGGCACCCTATATTTAGAGTGCAGTTGCCGTCGCTCTACTCTCGGCCAGTGACGCGCATCTCGAGTGGATCGGCCGCGGAGACGCCCTGCATGAGGTCACGCGGCACCGCCAGCGGCACCGCCAGCCCTACGCCGTCCGGGACGTTGAATCATGGCTAGTGTGGTGGTTGCGTCGCTCTGTTTCCCTCGCACTCACGGGGCGTCCCGTAGGGGTGCGACAGAGACAGAGCGACGAAACCTCACTGTTCAGACCAGTCTGCGGCCAGCGGGCGGGGAAGGGAGCGTTCCTAAGCGATGTCGTGAGTCACCGAGAGCGTCTTCGCCAGTCTTAGCAGTCTTCGCCTCGCTGGCGCCGGAAGCCTCCGTGAGCTTACAGTGCACGGCGTTGACGCGCGGCCCCCGCCGCACTCGACGCCTTCGGCTTCCTTATTGCGAGGATCGCAGTGTAGCGATCACGGCGATTGGCCCGGATCCGTCGTCGGGGCCGCCGGCGTCTCTCTCGCACTCGCACGCCGTGCCGGCCGCGCCGTCGGGGTGCGAGAGAGACGGCGCGAGGCTGACAGGTGCCTCGTGACGAGGGCCGCACCTCGATCAATCTAATCTGCGGCCGACATCGCCGCGGCGTCCGCAGGTAAATCGAGACGCTCTAGGCGGCGCGAACCGCGAAGCACGTGCGCGCCAAAGACGCCCGCGAGAAGGAGAGAGATAGAGAGATTCCCCAAATCTTTCCCTCTCTTTTTCGCAGTGTGCCCCACTTCACATGAACAAACACGTCCGTCCCTCCCTCGGCCAGTGGTCGACAATCAATCACCCCCTCCCCTCCCCTCCCCCCTGCCGCCCGAGTCATCTGTCCGACCGAGTCCCTTCCCCACCGCTCCGCCGGCTGGCCTCTCCCCTCGCTTGATAAGAGCTGATTTCTGATTGGCTGCCGCTGTTGTGTGTGCGCTTCGCAAACATGGCCGCCTCCCCCCCCCCTCCCCGCCTCCGCCTTGCACGTCATCCGCTCATGATATTTTTTTCCTGCGAACCGGGGCGGGTGTCACCACATCAGGAGCGAAGGGCGAGGGAGGGGGCGGACTTTGCTTATTCCCCTGACGCTACTCCTCCTCCTGTCGAGTGAGGACTGCAATTACTGGGTCAGCCTCCGTTCACGTGATCGGCCGCACCTGAGTCGAGAGAGAAAGAGGGGGGAGACGAGTAGCGCTCTGGTTATTTTACCGATAAACACTCGACACTGCTCGCGGTGCTCGTCTCAATCTCGGGTAGTCTTGGGTGTGACAAGTGGGATGAGTGAATGTCGCCAAGGGGCCTCTGCCGGGTGTCGAACCGCCGTCCCTGCGCCCGCGGGGCCGGCTATGCTTACCGGCTCAGCCGCGCGGCGCCGCACTGGAGGGAGGCTGGCAAGGTCGCTACACACACCGGGAGCAAGACACCGGGTCAAAATATTTTGAATGTGACAACGGGATAAGATATAGTGAGGAATAGATTATAGGTTCCTATCTGCATACGCAGTATCTTAACAGATAACTGTGCATTCCGACGCTGGTAGATACGGCCAAACTTATCACTTATCGTCTGAGATACGAGCCTGTGGGTCCGTGCAGCTTCTGACTATGCACCCCAAGGGCAGCAGATATCGCTCCGTGAGGCGATACAGTGGGGTGAAGGCCCCGAAGGTGTAAATGGTTCACTCGCGGCCGCGCCGTGCGCCAGCGTGCACCGCGCGGCGCCCGCTGCAGTGGGCCAGAAGACCCGTGGAGGCGGCCGAAACTCTAGACGCATGTTGTGCTCTACAGTCGGTGAACTGGACTCCATTTGAACGTGTGACCCCACCAATGGATTCCTCGACCGGAGAGCAGTCCATTGGTGGGGTCACACGTTCGGTTCGCGTCCCATTTAGCGACTCTAGAGCTCAAAACACGTCTAGAATTTTGGCCGCCTCCACCGGTCTTCGCTGGTCCACTGTGCGGCGCCCCGCTGAAGTGGGGGGCAAGGTGGTGCTTGGGAGCTGCAGGGTGCTGGAATGACTTTGGCCGTGAGTATCGTTGACGTTGCTCAAGACAAGAATAACCATTGGCTTTGTTTTCCTGATTAAGCGCCTAAACGCAAACAGTACAGGTCCCTTGTGCTTTTCCGAACTAACCAACTGTGCACCAAAGAAAAGAGTTAAGTCTGAAGGAAGTCTGCACTTCCCACACGGTAAAAACGGTACCTGGTTTTCCCAGGAAGCCTATGGTGAAGACATGGACGATTTCCAGGGGGTTCCTGGGAAAACCAGGAACCGTTTTACCGTGCACTACGCGCAATGAAATACAGTGTCCAGGAGTGTCTAGGATTCTATTTTTTTCCATGCGGCGGTGGTTTAGCACATCCTTTGTTTTCGAGTGACTCTTGATGGACGGGTGAGCCTCCCTGAAGCTTCGCCACTGTAATCCCTCCTGCACCTGCCGACTGAGTGAAACCGCGCCTCTGCCTCTCTCGCACTCACGGGGCGTGCCGTAGGAGCGCGATGAGCGAGACAGCGCGACGAATCCTTGTTTCGGCTCTGTCTGCAGGAACGGTGATGGTCCGGACTGTCAGGCCCAATCCACACCATAAAGCACAAGGGGAAATGCAGTCGGTGCACAGTGGGCCAGAAGACCGGTGGAGCGGCCAAAACTCTAGACGCGTTTTGAGCTCCAGAGTCGCTAAATGGAACTCGAACCGAACGTGTGACCCCACCAATGGATTCCTCGTTCGGAGAGCAATCCATTGGTGGGGTCACACGTTCAGTTCGAGTTCCATTTAGCGACTCTGGAGCTCAAAACGCGTCTAGAGTTTTGGCCGCCTCCACCGGTCTTCTGGCCCACTGTGCGGTGGAATACCGTAGCTAGCTGCTCCGGACGCGTCCTCGGGAAGGTGCGGTGAGGCGTGGTCTCCCTCGCGCCGCGGCCCGCCCCGCCTCCGCCACCCCGTGCCTCGGCCGCCCCGGCTGGCGCGCCCCGCGGCGTCGTCGTCACCGAGCCCCGCCAGTACCCGCCGGCGAGAGTAGTGCACAACACCGCGGTACTCGCAGGGAGGGCATCGCGGTCGCAACACCGCGCCGCCGAAATCGTAGTGTAGTGCCTCGTGTCCACGGCGTGCGCTTGCGACAACCTGGCTTCACGTCTCTACTCCGCAGGCCGCAGTGAAGTGAGGTACAGCGCGCTACCGGCTCTCATTGCTCGAATCGAGTGTGGCACAACTGTGTAGAAAATGTGGTTTGGACTTACTTTGGGAGGCCACAGCGTCCAAGCCGGGGAAGGGTCCTACCTCTGGGACAGTACTCCTAGTTGCTTCCTTTAGCATGCCGTTTCTACGGAGAGCAATTTTTCGCCTTGGTTTGGAGGCAATTTTGCCGTAAAATTGGTCAAAACGGTGAAAAATGTGCAGAAATCGTGGTTAGGCTGAGCTGACTTTGACCGACCACACTGCGTTCAATCCAAAGCGAGAAATGGTAACAGGATAGTTCCCTTTACCTCCGAATTTAGTATGCTTTTTCTGCGGAATGCGATTTCCAGCCTTGGTTTGGGAGCAGTCTGGCTGCGAAGTTGGTCAAAACGATGACAAATGTGCTGAACTCGCGGCTTTTGGTGGCTTCTGTTTTTGAAAGTTGATTCCATTGACGGGTTGCTACACCTTGGTTCGCTGCAGCGTGCATGCACGCCGAGGGGGCAAAAACTCGGGATTTTCGTGTACACATGATTCGGAAAACGCAATGATTGCGCATGGTTTTAATTGATTTCATGGCTGATTTTGCCTTATTTCGCGACGCACCAGGGTGATGTTGAGCGTGATTGCGTGTGATTGTGTTCGGAAAGAAATGATTTCGGACTGATTTGGCCTGGTTTCGTGTGATTCTGCCTAATTTCGGTCGATTTTAGTGATTTTGGCTGATTTCGGATTGCTTGATTTCGCGTGATTCTCAATGATTCGCGTGTGATTTCGGGGGCCGTGTACACATGATTGCGCGAGTTTTTGCCCCCTCGATGCACGCCCAGACAAGGAGCCGAGCCGTCTTCGCGCGTCCCGCACGCCGAGGAAGTCCATAGGCGCGTCGTCAAGGCGAGGCCGAGGCTCCAGTGCACCGCACTCCTTCCTGCCCAACTTCCTGCAGCCTTCATCCTTGCTCTGGGCTTGCCCTGGTGCCCCACAACTCGGCTACACTTTCGCCTCCTCTTTGCTCGGACGGCATTTGTTTACCCCTTTCGCTTGTGGCCCCTCCCAAACTGCTTCCTCCACCGTCACAGGGCGCTGCGTGGACGTCCTTGTGGACCGTCTGCCGGCCGTCACTCTGTCTCTGTCGCACTCACATGGCGGGTCCGCGCAGGGGTGCGAGAGAGACAGACTCTGGACTGGACTGGCTGGCGAATGTGTGGATGACGCGGCCTGGCTGGGGCGCCAGGAAGGCCGGATATCCGATGGAGCAAGCATAACAAGAAAGGAGCGCGAAACAGCTGTGCTGAAAATAGTCCCTGGAAAAATGAACCCTGGAAAATTTGTCTATCGATAAAGGCGCTGGGAGGTACTCGTTGATTGTAGTAGTAGGCTCTGCGGCAGTTTCCGGTGCGGGGTCAGGGCGACTGGCAGGACGGGGAGCAGCTCCAGCAAACAAGGGGTGGGGGCGGGCGGGGCCGGGCGGGGGCGACACACAGGCGACTTCCTCTTTCTCTCTCCACGTCGCGCCTCTTCTTCGCCTCGCTCGTTCGCACGCTCTGTCCACGACGCGAGCGCGCAAACACCTCTCAAGAGGCCAAATATACAAATGTTTTAGGACGTGTCCACCGCGCGCCCCGCGGCTACCGGGTCGTTTTTTGGGGACCGGTAAAACAATACGCGTATACACACACACACACACACACACACGGGGTTCGCGCTGCGTTTTATGTTCTCGTTTTTAACCGAATGATTGCTGTTCGCGCAGGTGCTCGCCGCCATGGACGCGAAGCAGGAGGACCAGGACGTGCCGCAGGATGCGCCGCAGCCAGAAGAACACCAGGCAGCGGCCGAGGCCCCCGCCCAGGACGACGCCGAGCAGCAGCAGCATTTAGAGCAACAACAACAACAATTAGAGCAACAACAACAGCATTTAGAGCAACAACAACAGCAACAACAACAACTTGAACAGCAGCAGCAAGAGCAAGAACAGCTAGAGCAGCAGCAGCAGCTGGAGCAGCAGCAACTGGAACAGCAGCAACAACAACTAGAGCAGCAGCAGCTTGAGCAGCAGATGCAGCTGCAGCAGCAGCAGGAGTCGCGGCCCGCCGTCATCACGCGGCGCCGCAACCTGGTGCGCACCATCACGACGGCGGGGCTCATCACCGAGGCCGAGGCGGAGGACGTCAGCGAGGACGCGCAGGAGGGCCGGGAGCGGCAGCAGACCCCCGGCAGCAGTCCCGGGGACGCGAGCCGCGCCAACGCCGAGGTGCTCGTCGAGAGGCCCGTGGACGCGGCGGGCGAGGCGGCCGCCGGCCACCCCGAGGAGCAGTTCGTGGTCCAGGACATGTCCACCATCGCGCTGGACGGGCGCGCCGGCGTGCAGGTGGCACACGAGTACAGCTTCCTCACCACCACGGGGTCGCCCGGCGAGCAGCGCGTCGTCCTGGTGCCCGAGCGCGGCTACGTGGGGGACTCGCGCTACGCCTACACCATGGTCAGCATGATGCCGGAGGTGAGTTCAGCCTTGACTTGAGTGGCAAAACAAAGGGATAGAAACCACGCCCCCATAACAGCGCCCTTTGGAGGGGGCGTAAATTACGCAGACTTTTAGCTCCTTTACTAATGCACTACCTAACGCCATTGAAGGGCCAAAAATACTGTTTTGTCCTGAAAGAGGTAGTTTACATGTCTTCGATTTGCCAGAGCTGAGAAGGACCACCTCTGCTTTCCGGGTGGTGGAGAAGCAAGGCGCCAAGGTCACCTCCACCTGTTGCGTTGTTCCAGGACAAGCTGGACACCGGAATCCTGCAGTTCACGTCCAGCGAGCCCCTGCCCCGGTTCCCGCACATCGCCAAGGGCGCGTCGGCGGCACCCCACCACCCCCACCACCTGCACCACCACGCGCTGCCCCCGCTCGACCACCACCAGCGGCGCTACGGCACGCAGGGCCTCGTCCCCGGTTACCAGGTGCGGCCCGCGCGCTCAGCACCAGAGGACCGGTGGAGACGGCCAGATTCCACCTAACCTCCAGAGTCGCTAAATGGGACTCGAACCGAACGTGTGACCCCACCAATGGATTCCTCTTTGAAAGAGGAATCCATTGGTGGGGTCACTCCGGGTCACACGCTCGGTTCAACTCCTGTTCAGCGACTCTGGAGCTCAAAACGCGTCTTGAGTTTTGGCCACCTCCACGGGTATCTGCTGGCCCACTGTGCCTATCGATGCAACCTTTTACTCGTTTTACGTGGAACATTTGTGAGATGACACTGCATTGCGCAACCTTCGCAGGAGATGTCCACGCCGCCGCCGCTGGCTCCGCCCCACCAGCTCGACGTCGAGGTCGGCGGCAACGTCCCCGGCCAGCAGCACCTCGTGGAGGGCTACGTGGTGTCCACCTCGCTCAAGTACGAGCACGACGAGCAGGAGGAGCACCAGCAGCTTTTGCCGCTGCCCGCCGCCACCTACACCACGCTGGAGTCCGGCGGTAGGGCAGGTTTGTACTTGGAGGCTCTGGGATCGAGTCCTGGCGCACAGTGGGCCAGGTGGAGGCGGTCAAAAGGCCGGATGCGTTTTGAGCTCTGGAGTCGCTAAACGGGACTCGAAAAAAAAAACGACCAACGGATTGCTCTTGAACGATACATTTGGTGGGGTCACACGCTCGGTTCGGGTCCTGTTTAGCGACTCTGGAGCTCAAAATACGTCAAGAGTTTTGACCGCCTGCGCCGGTCTTCTGGCCCACTGTCCGGCGCGGCGCGCGGCCTGGTTTGCTGATTCCCGCTCCATGTGCAGAGTGTCTGCCCGGTGCCGGGGAGGCTGTCTACACGCGGGTCAACTATATGGAGGGTCCGTGGAAGGTACCCGAGGCCGGCGTCGACGCCATGACCACCTCCTCCTCGTACTCGCCGAACACGTCGCCGGTCCACCTCAAGGCAGACCCCACCCTCACCACCTCCACCAGCTACTCCCCCGCCTACAAGCACTACTCGCCCTACATTCAGGTGAGTCCCGGCGGCAGTGGCGCAGCGAACGGGGCCGAGGTCCCGGCACCGACCAAATGGAAAGGGCATTTCAACAATGATGCCGCACAGTGGGCCAGAAGACCGGTGGAGGCGGCGAAAACTTAAAACACGTTTTTGAGCTCCAGAGTCGCTAAACAGGACTCGAACCGAGCGTGTGACCCCGCCAATGGATTCCTCGCTCGGAGAGCAATCCATTGGTGGGGTCACACGTTCGGTTCGAGTCCTAAGCGACTCTGGAGCTCAAAACGCGTCCGGGGTTTTGACCGCCTCCACGGTCTCCCCACTGTGCGCCGTTGCCCCCTTGGTCGAGATGCACCCTGAGGGAGGCCCTCGCAGGGAGAGTCCTCCAACCCTCCGCCACTGAGCCAAGCCGTAGTCTCAGAAGGTGCAGGCGACGTCACTTGGATGTAAAGTCGGGCTCCCCGATGGTGATGCTGCAGGGGTCCGCGCACCTCGGCTACGACTCGGCCGAGTCCCCCACGCCGCAGGGCGGCCTGTACAGCAACGGCGGCGCGCCGCCGTACTCCGTGTCCGCGTCGACGGCGTGGTCCGGGTCGCCGCAGCCCGGCGAGGCCTACGTGTTCCACCAGTCACCGGGGCTGTCCGGCGCCGCGGGCCTCCCCTCCGGGGCCACGTCCTACCCCTACTCCGGGGACGCGTGGACGCTGGCGGAGGACGGCTACGACTCGGGTGAGGACCCGTGGACTTCCCTGCCTCTGCCGTGCGCAGTAGGCCAGCCGAGCGATATCACACAGTCGTCTCGTCGCCCTGTCTCTCTCGCACCCCTACGGGACGCCCCGTGAGTGCGAGAGAGATGGAGCGACGAAACGACCCATCGGAAACGCTCCGCAGAGGCCCTGCTTCGGTGGACATTTCGCACACGGTTTCTAAAATCATGCTTGAACCGGCTTGAACCAAACACATGGTGGTACCAAAAGGACGTCCCTGGTTCAAAGAGCAATCCATTGGTACCGCCACACAGTGGGCCAGCAGACCGGGGGAGGCGGCCAAAACTCTAGACGGCGTTTCGAGCTCCAGAGTCGCCAAAATGGGCCTCGAATGGAACGTGTGACCCCACCAATAGATTTCTCTCCAAACGAGGAATCCATTGGTGGGGTCACACGTTCGGTTGGTGTCCCATTTAGCGACTCTGGAGCTCAAAACGCGTCTAGAGTTTTGTCCACCTCCGCCGGTCTTCTGGCCCACTGCGCGCCGTGTGTTTGGTTCGGGCACCATGAGACACCCCTCGGCTAACTCGCCGTCCTGGACGTCGCAGGGCACGGCCTGGACGTGAAGGAGTGCGTCAACTGCGGGGCGCCGCACACGCCCCTGTGGCGGCGCGACACGGAGGGCAACTACCTGTGCAACGCGTGCGGCCTGTACAACCGGGTGAACGGCGTGAACCGGCCGCCCGTCCGGCCCAACATCAAGAAGACCGCGCCGGCCGTTAGCGTGAGTCACGAGCAGAAACAGCTTGTCGCTTCCACTGGCTTGGCTTGCGCGGCGCCCAACCCGTACGGAGACTGCAAAGTGTGTTTGACGGTCTTCCAACCGTGTTCTTTATCTCGTTCATTTTACGGACGCTCTGGAGGGCCCGCCCGACTGACGTTCTGCCCTGTTCTCTGCAGCCCCAGACAGGCAACCGGAGGATGGGGGTGATGTGCGCGAACTGCAACACCACGACCACCACGCTGTGGAGGCGGAACAACAATGGGGACCCCGTGTGCAACGCCTGCGGCCTCTACTACAAGCTGCACGGGGTAAGCAGCGAACCAGGGTGAAAAATCCGGCCGTTTGTTACGCCCCTGGAACAGCGTGAATCGCTTTATGCCCTAGGGAGGGGTGTGAATTGCGATAGGACTCGTGGGCAAAATTTTGATGCCTTCCACCTAACTACGCCTTAAAAGGGCGTGAAAGACTGTCGTGTACTTAAGGGCGTAGTTTTTATGCCTTTGTTTTGCCTAGTCAACGCACCGCTCCAGACACCCCGATGAGTCTGACATTGCTCTACTTTCGTCCTCTGTTTTCGACTACGCAGGTGAACCGGCCTCTGACCATGAAGAAGGACAGCATACAACAGAGGAAGCGCAAACCCAAAAACCCCGGTTCCGGTATGGGGACACCGCCAGTAAAGCAGGAGGGCAAACCCGGCGCCGGCATGCACCGTAAGTAAGGCCTCGCTTTCCTTCGTTGCCATGGTTACGTTTTTCCGTGTTTTGGGTGCGTCAAAGTCTGTCTGAGTGTGTTGGGAAAAAGTCTATTGAACTCGTGCGAAGTCTCGCTTCCGCTTCGTGCTTTTGTTCCATTCCGGAAACGAAAGGAGTTAACATTCCGCACAAGAGGCGGCATGCAATTGCTGAAAATGATCGCAAGTCCCGTTTTCAAATCACCTTGTTTAAAAAAAATGCAATATGCAAAATATACAAAACTTTCCTGTTTGTGTTCTCAGTGCAGTATTGCTCTTAGTAAGGCAGTTGATAATTCAAGTTAACGTCTATGCATCGGACACAACTACGCTCCGAATCATCTCAGATCATGTTGTGCTCCATGAAGGCCTAGACGAATGCCATTTTCATGAGCTTTACTTGTCCCTTGTCTTTCCAACTTCCGCGCCTCTCAAGAGCACAGCCCCTGGTTCAAGACTCACCAGCGGCCGGCTGTCTGATTCTGCCCTCATGGTGTGCTATTTCTTCGACAGCGAAAATGCTCATGTCAGACGGGTACCCCACCAGCCCCGGGATATCCGGGGGGTCCATGTCGCAGTACGGGGCCCCCATGACGGGGGCCTCGGTGGGGTACGGGGGCCACGGGCAGGGCCACGCCCTGGGCCACGCCTTGGGCCACGGCGCCCACCTGTCCCTCGGCCACCCCGACGGCCACCATGACGGGGCTCATGGCGCGCACGGCCTGGGCCACGGCCTGGGTCACGGCCTCGGCCACGGCCCGGGCGTGGATGGGTTGGCACTGCCGCCGTCGGGCGTGCTCAACAGGCACCTCATGTCACAGTATGTAGCCCTGCATTTGGCTGTCCGGTCATGTTCGCGCTTGCGGGCCGGAACCCCCAGGGAAGGACCACGAGGCCACCAAGCCGTGGAAGTGGATGTGAAAAGTGGAATGTTTCGCTGCTCGACGTTGGTCCGAGGACGGAGGAAAGCGATAGGTTCTTTGTCCAGCCAGCAGGCTGTTTCCTCACCGTCCGTCGCTCTGTCTCTCTCGCCTTCCCACAGGACTCCCACGAGTGCGAGAGAGACAGAGCGACGAAGACACCGCTTGGAATCAGCCAGTGCTGGAACAGCTTAACCAGACTATTATTGGCCTTTTTTGTAAGTCTCCGATTTTAAGTCGATTTATCGCTTTCTTCGACTCCTGGAACCAAGAGCAGGCGAAATGTTGTCCAAGCGCACACCGCCTTGGCGGCATTGTGACTTGTCTGGGTTACTGGCGAAGCAGCGCACTCCTCGCTTTGAAACGCAGCGAACTGGTTGTCCTCACTGTTGATCCTTCCCTGCTGGCTTCTTCGTGTTCGCAAAGGGCGTGACTGTGCCCAAACAAAGCTTACCTCTGTCCGCTGTGCCGTTCAACTCCTCTTAGTTTAGAGCCCGCTGGGTTGGTGTCTCTGACGGCCCTGTCTGTTTCAGCGTACCGCCGCTAGAGCACAGCACAGGCCGGTCTCCTGGCATCGTGTCGGCCCCGAGTAGCGTCATCACCTCCACGGGCCTGAGCGGCCTGCACCCTGGCGGCGACCGGACGAACCACCACGAATGAGGCCTCGACTCGGCGCTAGAGGTTTACGCCGCCACGCCCTGCGCGCGCCTGCTCGGTGGCGCCTCCCTGCGGCCAAGCCTCGCACCAGTGCAACGTACCGATGGTACCGGCCGTACCGACGGTACCTGGGTGGCTGGCCTGCACCAACAAAGAATACGAAAAGTTTCTGAGGAGGGCTCAGTGGGTACTGCAAAATCCACCCAAAGTCACAACACGAGTTTGGAGAGAATATTGAACGGACTTGTATTATATATGCTAAGGACTTAATTTATAACAAAAAAATTAATACGTTTAATAGGTTACTGATTGTATGACACTCTTTAAGTTTTGGGGCGCGAGCCCTGCTAGTCCCTGTGATTAATATTACAGCTAACGTCCAATCCTGACTACTTTAATGTAATGATAACTGTGTACAAATGAGAATAATCAAGCTTCATCATTGTTCTGTCTTTCATCAACTTCGTTACCACGTGCAGCTTGATTTATTCATTTATTGAACAAAATGTTTTTGTGTCTAAGACTTTGACATTCATGGAAAGCCTGGAGTGTAAATATATTTTGTCTTTTTATTTTATGCAAAGAAAACGTAAAGGACTTTTCCCTCCCTTCCATGTCACACCTGTGATCACAATGACAGGAACGAGGGTCAATCGGGGTCAATCAACTTGAAACTAGTTGAGGCAGCTCTCCAACAGTGTCAACCCTCAAACTCAAGTATAAGTTCGGGGCGAGCGCGACAACGCAGGACGTTGAATCACAGTAGCTCATTCATCGCAAGGGGTCGTGCTATTTTATCTCTCTTCGGCTCAACAACAACAACAAGATGCATTCATCTCTGTTCAGCTTTGACCATCATCATCATCATCATCATCATCATCATCATCATCAACGCTACTAGGCCTATGCAGACCTTTAGCGGTTCGCGCAATGCACAAATCTATAAAGGCCTTATAGTGAAGATTTTCCATATTGTGGTGAAAATAGTCTACATTACGGTGGTGCAGCTGACTTTGTAGATTACTTTTGAAAATTCATTGTACCTTACGGAGTTTTGTATTACTAAATGAAGAAAATCTCCACCATTCAGTAAGTTGGCGCAGCCTATCACGGAAAGACATTTACAGTGTATAGTCAAATCAGCCAAGGGAGATGAAACGATAGAGATGAGAGTGCGCGATGCTGCCCGCTCCATGGCGCGGCCGCGGGGCGACGGTCCATCGACCCATTGGTCGCCGCGGCCGCAGGCTCCGCCAGGCTCCGCCTCCTGGGCCTCCCGGACTGGCCGGCCGGCCACGGCACCGCGTCCAGACGACTCTTACTTCGACAACAATGAAATTCAAACACGCACACAAAGCGCGGCGCGCACAGTGGGCCAGAAGACTGGTGGTGGCGGACAAAACACCAGACGCGTTTTGAGCTCCAGCGTCGCTAAACAGGACTCGAACCGAACGTGTGACCCCATCAATGGATTCCTCGTTCGGAGAGCAATCCATTGGTGGGGTCACACGTTCGGTTCGAGTCCCATTTAGCGACTCTGGAGCTCAAAACGCGTCTAGAGTTTTGTCCGCCTCCATCGGTCTTCTGGCCCACTGTGGTGCGTGAGGGGCGCAATCTCCCCCAAACCAGGGCGGACATGCTTCCGAGCACAGTGTGGTCGCTCTGTCTCCCTCCCACCTACGGGCCGTTCCGCGTCGGTGCGAGAGAGACAGAGCGACGAAAGCAATGTTCGAAGACAGCCCTCCGGTGTGCGTAGGGCATTACACTGTATTACCGGGGCAGGCGGCAATCCGTCACGGGGGCCCCTAAGGGGGCGGCGGTTACACTAAGAGGGCTGCGGCGCCTCGGCCCTCGCTCTGTCTCTCTCGCACTCGTGAGGCGTCCCGTAGGGGTGCGGGAGAGACAGAGCGACGGAGCGGCCCTTCGGAGTCAGTGTGCTGCACGCGAATCGAATCGCTCCGCGAGCCGGGCGGGTGGCCTACCCAGCGCGTTGCAGGCGCCAAGCCACTCTGCAGGCAAATGCTCATGGACTTGCTGTACATCAGTTTTGACATAAATAAGGTTAAATATTATAAATACAATGCAAATATTGTTCCTATAACTTATGTATTAAATTGTGCACGGTGAAAACGGAACCTGGTTTTCCCAGGAAGCCTATGGTAGAGACATAGGCGATTTCCAGGGAGTTCCTGGGAAAACCAGGAACCGTTTTTACCGTGTGCATAGCTTGCAGATGCATGGCAATAGGCAATAATTCAAGTAGAAACATAATTTAGTTTGTGGATTCTCGCGGCACTTTGTGGTGTGTTGGGACTTTTTCGAGAGTGCACGCATTTTGGCTACCGGCACACCGTATCCGAAAATAAATAAGTGACTGAATAGTACAATGAGAAACATGCGAGAGTATTCTCTGAATTAGAAGAGCTGGCAAACTGACTTCACCTCAAAAACAACGTTGTTCCCATATGCATTCAAGACACTCCGAGTTTTAAGTTTATTCGAAAAGTCTTCCTAGAAGGTTTTCCACCGCTCGCCACCGACTTGTTCGAACGTCTTTTTCCGGGGGTAGATTGGTGGTCTGTTTCCTAGCAGACTGTTCATTTTCCACGTGGGCTGGCCTGTCGGTGTCGGTGCGACCTGCGCCACTCTAAAAGCCACAAGCCACACGTGCCCCCCCCCCTCACTCCCTCACTCCGATCCATTTTTCTCCGGGCATGAAGTACACGGGACACCCACTGGCCAGGCTGGGCCGGATATGGAAATGATGCGACTCGCGTGCCGCGCACTCGCTCTGTGTAGACCCATCCATCCATCCGTCTCTCTCTCTCTCTCTCTCTCTCTCTCTCTCTCTCTCCCTCTCTCTCTCTCTCTCTCCCTCTCTCGCCTAGAGTCACCTAATGACTCAATCTTCGCGGCCGGACCGCGGAGCCGCGAACTAGCCCTTGCAATACACCGAGCAGAGAGCACGCCGTCGTGTTTTATTACCCCCTCCCCCTCCCCTCCCCCCCCCCTCCCCTCCCCCTCCCCTCCCCCTCCCCTCTCCCGCCGCGTCTCCCCGTCCTTCGCGGCCCACTCCGGCCGTGCGCTCACCGCCGCGGCGCTGCGCCGCGCCCTGCCGCGCCCTGCCACGCCCTGCCATGCCCTGCCATGCCCTGCCGCGCCCTGCCATGCCCTGCCATGCCCTGCCATGCCCTGCCACGCCCTGCCATGCCCTGCCATGCCCTGCCGCGCCCTGCCATGCCCTGCCGCGCCCTGCCCATGCCCTGCCCTGCGCGCCCTGCCATGCCCTGCCAGCTGCCAGCCCTGCCATGCCCTGCCGCGCCCTGCCATGCCCTGCCGCGCCCTGCCATGCCCTGCCATGCCCTGCCGCGCCCTGCCATGCCCTGCCGCGCCCTGCCATGCCCTGCCATGCCCTGCCGCGCCCTGCCATGCCCTGCCGCGCCCTGCCATGCCCTGCCATGCCCTGCCGCGCCCTGCCATGCCCTGCCGCGCCCTGCCATGCCCTGCCATGCCCTGCCGCGCCCTGCCATGCCCTGCCGCGCCCTGCCATGCCCTGCCATGCCCTGCCGCGCCCTGCCATGCCCTGCCATGCCCTGCCGCGCCCTGCCATGCCCTGCCGCGCCCTGCCATGCCCTGCCATGCCCTGCCGCGCCCTGCCACGGCCGGCTGAGCTCGCCCTAAGTGGTTTCTTCCATCAGCCATCAGGGACCTGGCCGGCCAGACCCGCCTAACGATACATCCCCTCTCCCTCTCACCGCCGGCAGTCCCGCCAGCGCTGGCGCCGCGCGGCCACGGCCAGCCGCCTGCTTCCGAAGACCCCGTCTCCGTCTCCCTCGCACCCCTACGGCACGCCGGGCACGCCGCACGAGTGCGAGAGAGACGGAGAGATAGGCGGCAAACGACGGCAGGATTAATGCCCAGGGCGGCCGGCGAGTCGCGAGTGCAGGCCGAGTAGCCGGTGCCGCGGTGCCGCCGGGGAAGTACCTCCAGCAGGTCCAGCCGCCGCGTCGCTCTGTCTCTCTCGCACTCGCGGGGCGTCCTGTACGGGTGCGAGAGAGACAGAGCGACGAAGCGGCGCCGTTTCGGCGTGCAGGCCGAGGCGGCCGAGGCTCCATCAGCCCCCGGAAGACGTAAAACCCGCAGTTGACTTGTGCTCCAGAAGGCGGCGAGCGATTCGGCGCAACGCGCTTTTGTCGCTTTGTCTCTCTCTCTCTCTCTCTCTCTCTCTCTCTCTCTCTCTCTCTCTATCTCTCTCTCTCTCTCTCTCTCTCCGGCGGCGGACGGGCGCCTCAAGTGCATGTCGCGTTTGGCAAATGGTTGGCCGGCCGCCACGGGGCTGGCGTTAGTCACTGGCCAAAACGCGGCGCACTCGCAGCGGGCAGGCTGCCACGGCGCCGCCATGCCCTGGCCATGCCGCCGTGCTCTCACGGGTAGCCGAGGAGACTGCAGTGCTCGTCGCTCTGTCTCTCTCGCACCGCTGCGGAGGGCCCCGTAAGTGCGATAGAGACAGAGCGACCGCTTTTCCGGTGGCCCGGAGAAAATAGAATTTGCAGCTTCGTGAATGGGCTATGACTGCGAAGCGGTTGCGGCCCGGCCCACAGTGGGCTAGAAGCCCGGTGGAGGCAGCCAAAATTCTAGACGCGTTTTGAGCTCCAGGGTCGGTAAATGGGCCTCGAACTGGGGACGTGTGACCCCACCAATGGATTGCTCTCAGAACGAGGAATCCATTGGTAGGGTCACAAGCTCGGTTCGAGTCCCATTTAGAGACTCTGGAGCTCAAACCGCGTCTAGAATAATTTTGGCCGCCTCCACCGGTCTTCTGGCCCACTGTGCGGCCCACGCACACTGACCGCGACGGTACCTGTCGGCGATACTCCTTCACGCGGCCCGGCCGGCCGGCAAGGACGCGGGGTATCTACGGACGAGATAACGCCCAATGACATCAACTTCATTGAGTAGCTTTATGCGTACATGTGTTTCGTCTGGCGCCAACGGCCGTGGCCGATTATTGCAGATCGACATCGCGAAACGGGTTTCACGCCCTTTCACGAGCCAAGTCTAGAAGCCGGGGGAATTCGGGGGAGGGGCACGGGTAGCATTCGTGCTGAACTAGGACGGAAGGGTCTAGCCTCAAAGCCACCTGCTCTGCCCAAACTCTCAAACAACCAACGAACGCCGACGCTTTTACCACCACCACCGCCACCACCACCACCACCACCACCACCACCACCACCACCACCACCACCACCACCACCACCACCACCACCACCACCACCACCATCATCATCATCATCATCACCTGCACTGACAAATATTTGATCTCAATCCGACAGCGCTCTCATTTTTTTCTTTTTCAGAGTTAACCGGCGCACCACGCAGAACATTGCTCTGGCTCTGTCAAAAGCTGAGGAGCTGATTCTAAACAACCAGGGCCGGACTGGCTAAGTCAGGGCCCCGGTCGCAGTGTGACGTCAAGGGCCCCCTTTTCCGATATGCGTCCATTGTTTTAAATTTACTAGCCAGGGGAGGGTAAGCCGTGTTTGGTGACTTTGGGCGGCCACTGTGTCCAATCTAGTTGACGTA